TTCAGGATCCAGATGGACGCAAGATCTGGTGAAATGATACTGGACGATATCAGAAAATTGAGAAAATAGCGGATTTGGGTGGTCGAAACTTAAGAAATCCGTCCTAACAACCCTGTCTGGACTTGTACGTCCTGTCTTTCCTCAGAATGAATGAACATTGTCATCATTTATCAGTGCTGGATCATATAATGCAAACAAGCATTTAGTTACAAACAAGAAATGTTGCAGCCTGTCAGCTGCGTGCATAAAATGGTTTATTCTGTCGTCAGATCGTTGAGTGTCTCAGCTGAAATGTAAGACTGAATTTCGGAAATGCCTTGTACGAATATCATGAATATGGTTTCATTTTTCATTTTTGCTGACTGAAGGAGGCGTGTAGCCGATTCATAGTGGCTGTGGTGCAGTGTGCTTTATTGCATATTTGCTCAAGGTGCGTTCGATTACTCGGCAACAGTAATAGTTGAAAACATATGGTCCTCTATTACAAGACAAGAAAACAACACCGTGTTTAGGTTCGAACAGCACTATTACGCTGAAATGTTTAGTAAAGCTTCTGAAAACCTGATTTACGGACTTGAAATATCAACTCTTTTAAAGCACCATGAATATATGTTGGGCACTTTTCAGCAACGTTGCCTGCGGAACATTTTCAAAGTGAAATGGTTCCATCAGATAAAGAATGAAAAGGTCTTGGAGGCAACCTGCCTAAGTATGTCGTCTGAAAAGACCAGGGGCATGCGTTTGTCGTGGCTTGACCGAACTACCCAGAGAGAGAATAGAGACTTATCTAAAACCATTCTCTTCTGGAAAGCAAGAATTTATGCAGGTGCGTTGGAGGTCAACATCTCACTCTATCGCAGCTGCTAGAGGCGGACTTGCTTGCGACGTAGAACATGACCTTAGTCAAAAGAACCAGCGTGGCCTATGTTATGCTGAGAAGCCAGAGCGTCAGATGTCATTAATCTCAGTAGTCTGTCGTAGACCCTTATACCCCAGATGACGATGACAACAACATACGCATCATATTATTTTCATTATCGTAAGCTTCTTCATTCAGTCTTAAGCCCCTTGTCACACGATTCTGTATTTTGTTCGTTGCACACTTTTCACAATTTGGATACTGAGCGTAGGTCATATAAGGTACGTTGATAAAACTAGCAGTGGAATTTTAACGTTCCTGAGCTTAACCTACTTCCTTAGGTAGCATGATTTTTCATGAAACATCATTTCTCTTTCGTTGCGTTTGATATATGCATGTCCAGCATCCGAAGATGGAGTAATTCATTTGTGCGTTAGTGACCATACTGAACACGGTTTACTTATATGCAGCGCAAATAGTACTGAGGTCATTCCAGTGATTGACCAGTACTGACGTTTCTGTCCGTGTCTCACCGTAGGTTGGTGGTTGTGAAGTTTCGTGAATGTGATTGGTCTTCCGCAATAGTCGGTAGTTTCGGAGCCAAAAGGTCTTTATCCAGTATCGTACGTCTTTCAAGTGTTACCCAAAGATGCTTTGTGTTTCGTCGATAGTCGAAAGGCAGTTGTTCTGTAGTATTGGCGGGTTCACCGAAACCGATGACACACTGATCATTCATTCCCGCTGAATGAAAGACGTTGCAAAATGGAAAAAATCTTGCCATTAATGAAATAATGTTTTCGTACGAATCTAACCGTCGTTGCCGAAGCTAATAAACCTGACTGTTAAACAAATCGCAGAAATGAGTGAAAATTCTTGCTGTGTCAGTTAATCGATGGCGCAGGATTTTTTACCTTTCGCGTTTGTCTGCTGTGCCTACATTTACCCCTGTTTCCAACGCTTTGTCGATTTTTGAATCGTTCCTTGTTTACGGGACGTGAATTTAGCAATTACCTCTTGGATTTTTGTCCTGTTATTTAAAACTTAGTGACTGACCCGTCGACCCTCTTTGGCTGAATGCAGAATTCGAGCTATTGTGGGCGTAGCCCTGCGGCCACTGAGACAACCGTATCCGTCGAGCACAACATAGTGCTTAGTTGCCCTTCAGTGTCGTAATAGACCGATTTGATCTGTTGTGCACGACAGTGCAATCAATCTTTAAAAGAACTTTCTTTAAAAGCTTAAAGTTTTAACCTTTTAAGTAGAAAGTTTCTTATACCGTTTGATCACTTCACCTTTCCTAAAAGTTTTTTTCATTTTTTGGAAGAGGTGAAAACAAAATGCCTTGTTAATTATATAGATTTACTCTTTTTCCGTGTTTTTTCATGTGTTGCATATTTTAACAGCAAAACGGGTGTGATGATTGCGAAGCTTTTAGGCGATGCCATTTGTTCGTCGGCTTCCACGAAGACCCTTTCAGGTCGATACCAGTCTTTCCCTAGAAAAGAAGTACACGTAAAACTGCGCAAAGAATAAACTCTGTTCTTATTTCATGTGATGTAGTAATTAGTAAAAGTGGTTGCCGTCTTTCAGATTTTTAGTGTGTGTGATCTACTGTTGATTTTCATGCTAGTATATTCAGATTTTATGTTACTTCTTTGCCCATATTTGGTGATCATTTTTTATGTTAGCAGTTACATATGCCATTAGTTTTTGCAGTTGCTAGACACACCAACAAATTACTTTTGGTTGTAATTTTGGCATCACTTATAGATTACATAAATTTGCTTCCGATTTTCAAGTGTCCTACATTCTGTCTGAGACTGGTAAATCAGTATTATTTATTCTTCAAGTAAAATGCGTTTCATGAATGTCCTTGTTCATGTGGAGTTACACTGAACCATTATTGTCTTTGCCAGTGGTGCTATGTCTATAGATGTATTTCCGTTTGGCATCATTTGGGAGAATCGTCATAAGCAGGAACTTCCAAAACTTCTGATTTTTGATTGCTTATTTATCTATTATCGCAACATCAGAAATATAGTATTAGACAAAAGAAATTTAGTTAACGTATAACTGCGCCTAATCCTGATGATACCGTTTTCTCTGCGTATAGGCTTTGGGAGACCATTCAAGCATGCTGCTGTTATCCTTTGTTATTTGAGCGTCTATGATGTAAAGACATCTTTAGCCGTTTTATTGACTTCAGTCGTACCCTACTCGTCACTGATGATGTTTCAAGTGCTGATCTCATGCTTACACAAGAAATCCTACCTTTGGGTTCGTTCTTTCATAAACTTTAGAAGGACCGATTTTTTCGTTGCATAGAGCAGCATCAACGAAAGTGCGGGATCATGGTGTATGACAGTAACATCACGGACGGAATACTGATGCACTCATCATGGGAGTCAATGAGTTAGGTCAAATGAAAGAACCGTAGAAAAAGTTAAGTAGCTTTTGTTACACCCGCAGTTGGAACGGGATGTCGGATCGCAGATATCAAAATATTTTAAAAATGTAAATTTGAACTTGCCATACCTGTCCATTTTTACGTCATCGCTTAAGCGTGCCTAATACGTTCCACTTATTTAAACAGTAAATTGATGGATAACGGACTAATTTTTTTCTCTCTGGCAGCTTTGCATTGTGCAATACAACCTTATGTTGTGTTGAGCAATAACGAGAGTTTGGAAATTCTGCTGTTATTTGTTTTTGGTTCTTCTTC